CATAACGAAATGACGCCAAAATATAGCAATTTCATATTTGTCAAATGGCATACACACGCGCCGTCATTCGTAAGTGTTATGCATGAAATGAAACGGTTTTTCGAAATATTTTCACCCTTATATCCCTTGTGATAAGGGTGATCGACGCGTGATTTAATTTTGGTATTGCATCGTCAGCTACCCCAGTGTTGCACCCTAATCGAATTGCTCAGTATCTTCTGTGGGGCCGACCCCTCGAAGACCAAAGGCCGCTGAAGATAAATAAAAGAAAATCAAACGAGCGGGCCTTAATTGGTCCCAATTTCGAGTCATCTTTGTGGATTACTTAATTAGATATTGTTAGCGTCTCTAACGGTTCTATTAACTATCCGTAGCCCGCGGTTACGGCTGTTTTTGTCTTTGTAATTACGTTGCTTTGTGTATTCGATGATGCAGAGAAAGTACCAAATTTTATTTTATAATGTAGCTATAAAAATGTAATTTTAGTGAATCTTGTGTTTCTTTGTAAATAATTACACAGAAAACTAGATAACTACATTTATATCATTAATTATTACATTTACTCAATAGTTAAATCATAAATTAAGAATGGGCGTATCATAATCACAACGATTATGTCTATATTTGCAACTTTTTTGACAATTTAAGTCGTTTATTATACTCGGGTATAAGTGAAAATATTACAATAAAAAAAATATTATTTTAATTCCCAGATTTACCGATTTCTTTAATGAAACTGTATTTATAAGGATATTTATGTTCTTTATTTCAATATGACAATATTTATGGGTTACCAAGAGCATCAAGGTTCATAGTGAATTCTTTAGTTATCTCTTACGATCAATCGATCAAAGTTAGAACATTAAACAAGATGATACCTTACGACCTTCATTTATCATTAGTCCATAACAAATCTGTTTCTGTATCACTGTACAATATTTCAGACGCCAAGGATGCTTCTAATTCCTATGGTGTTATTGCAATTTCCACTCTTGTTTTCATTAAATTAGGGTGCATTATTGTTTATTGTTTGACCCCGAATATTGTACTCAGTAATCAAAAAGCTAAGTCGTACGCGTGGCGTGGACTTGACGTTCGTACTTTCGTCATGCTTGGCTGGAACAAATTGTCTAGATGCAGGGGAGAGTGGTGTACGTTGAGCTGTCGGAATAAAGTAATAAAAAAGCATTATTGTGACATGAATCATATTAGGTGTGTTTCGAAAATCTTATTAGAATTGAGTAGACTGTGATAGTAAATCAAATGTGTTAGGTAAATATCTTTAAGGTTCTCTAGTCACGTGATAAACGGAACCCTACCTACAAGTTCACTGTCTGTCTCGTACCAAGTTATATCTCAAACCTAATACAGATACATAGCAGAAATTTTCATTAAGTATATATTTTGTTGTAGTTCACAAAAAATACTCAAAACAATTAAAATATCTATATATAATGTACCAATTATGGGAAATATTCTGCGCAATTCTAACTCGAACTTAGCTTATATATTCTAGTTTGAATTGGATATTTCACGATTTCAATATACAATTTCCAATTAGAACTAAATTTCCTTAATATACTGTAAAACTTAATGTACAACACACACAAAACATTAAACAAACTGAACCGCCAGTCTGACATACACATACCATCTTAAAATTATGACAAATGCAACATCCGGAATATTGAGGACCCCTTTATATAACAAACGAAATCAGTTCCATTAAGATAAGTTACTCATACGTCCAAAACAATATGTATATATTTATATATATATATAGATATATTAAACGGTTCAGATCACTTAGGAGAATTTATTTGTTTAGGTTAGGTCAATAACTTTTTATTCAAAATTTCAAGTATCTAGTTTCATCCTGGAGTTAAAATTTGGACGGCCTCAAGATATCGAACATCTAGGATCCCTAGATCCTTAGATCTTAGAAAACAGGATATAAGTAAACGAGAGGACGTCTTAAGTCAGTTCTGTATGGACCCAGCCAGTTTCCTTAAATACCTATCTATGACTGAATAGAGGGCGCTAGCGTAGCAATTTTTACTATTACACATCGGGGCATTCCCCATTCTTTAGTCCCCCAGTGACCACAGCTGAAGCAAAGCATAAAAAAGCATATATTCCGCGTTTTAAACAGTTAAAAGTGTTCTATTTAAATATTGCAACTACTCGCGTGAACAATAAATCGTATCTTCTGTAATCAATGATGTAAATAGACATAGTCTCCTCCGAGCACCAATAGTAAAGTGTGACTCCCCATTTTACCTACGTGGAACCACAGTTTTAAAATGAAATTGTAGAATAGCAACACTTATTGTTATAATAATGTTTGGGTTCGATTTAAGCTTCAGGTGAAAGGCTAAAAAGCTAGCACTGATCATTAGAATAGGGGCAGACGATCTTTGTAATTTTCCACGTCAGTGCTTGGTTCAATTCAGTGAAACTCCACAGAGTGTGCAAGCAGTATGATCGCTTGGTAAATTAGCTGGAACATTTCTCTAATTATATACAAACAATATTTATAGTTTTAAATACATTATCCTTCATATCTGTTCTACCTGAGTATTATGTATAATTATTAGATCATATCGCTTCTTTTTGTGTATTTTTAAGAGAAAAATGTGGACAACATTACTTGTCATTTAAACAATGTTTACTATTCTAAGTTATTAAAATTTTAGTCCCTAAATATTATCTGTAGTTTACGCGAGTCATACACATTTAAATAATACACTTTTAACAGTTTAAAACGGAAAGGGGAAATGATCAACAAGTGATGTGGACAGATCACCCGGCCTCCTATTGGTGTTTTCAAAAGAAAATAACGGTTTAAAACGCGATATATTCGTTACTTTATTTCCAATTATAATAACAACTTAACTAATATATTTCATGTTTTAAATCGTTAAAAGTGTTTTAATTAAATTATTTGTTCTTGCACACCGTAAGATTTGTATAATTAATCATAATGTATTTGTTTGATTTCGTATCGATTAAATTATTTTTTCCTGGGGGGTAACGAGTTATTGCTTTAGTAATATCAATATTTTAAAGGAAGCGGATTGAAACAGGAACTGTAGAGGTAATTTTTAATACATGTGGTTACACCATCACAATATAGTGACATATTTTACGAGTGTCACCCGCGTTTATGGTGCATTTGATCAAGCTGCATTCTAATTTAGTCTGTGGCTACGAGAGCGGGGATAAACGTAGTTTTATTTTTTATGACGTCATTAAGTCGAGGAAGCCGGAACGCCTGTGGTCTCCTTGCTGTATAAACTGTTGATATTGATAAGTACTTTGTGGTGTTGTTAAGACTGGGCGGGGATTTTTCTGTCTACGGTAACAAACCGAGTTTTTATTTGCGTCTTACTTTTGAGCGAGCTTTATTGTGCTGAATGAATTTCTTAAGATTGTTTAAGAATTCATTTACTCTGGGAACAGATATTCACTTAATGAGAAAACAATATTACTTATATGTATTTACATGCATCGGTGTCTTGATTAAACGAAACAGTGGTATAAAGAAAAAAATCAATTATTTATATGAACTTGTAGCTGACTCTAAAATGTCTATTGTTTTTGCTATCATACATCGATATAATATTTGCATGGAAGAGATAGTTATTTAGCTGTAAAGTCGCCGTTTGTCCTTAATTTCCATCAATTTTTTTTTTGTTTTGTTATGTGACAATAAAGAATATTTGTATTTTTATGTTAAATTAATAATAACATTCTTATTTACTTTCTCTACTAAGACGATATTGTTCGTAGATCGATGTCTATATTAGTAACAAAATTTGAACGAGCAAAAGTTATCCGGTACACCTAACTCCAAACATGAGTTTTTACATGAAAATACCATGAATAAAACACTTCTAATGGTTGAAAACGTAAAATTATCTTAACAACGGCCCGACGTTTCGTAGACGCGGGGGCACGTAAACGTTACTAATACATTTCGCGTTTTATACCGCTAAATTCTTCTATTTATATTTGTACTACTCACGTAAACTGCACACGTGAAATTACAGTTGTTTTACATCTATAAGTAGGAAATTAATACAGGTGTGTTGTTTTTAAATCCTATGATTTTCCCTCATGTCAAAATCAAATCTAATACGTTGGCGCCATCTGTTAGAAATAGGTTAGCTAATATAATAATTAGACCATTTAGGTCATCTAAATAATATTCTCAAATATTAACTGAATTCTTACACTTGAGAATGTTAAGGTCCTTCACGTTAGACAAAAAGTATTGCGTGTCAAAATCGAGGCGGTTTATTCCTTTTTTTCGTGGGTACGAGCAATGTTGATGTTGGGCGAGATTTACAACACCGTGGGCTGTAACACGACCTCACACCCACACGACATCTAAGAAATACATCCTTCACTTGCTTCGATCGAATTTTACACCTTTGTAATTTGGATTTGGTTCTTTTGCTCCGCTGTCAGGTCAGTCGCGACACGAACTTTGGACGCTGTTTGTGCCGACTCAAACAGGTTTCTGGATTCGGACTATTGTTATTATTTTGCAACATTTAAAGCTATGAAAACTTTAATACTTATAATTCACATGTTTTTGCACACGATGATATTACAAAAATTAAAATCCTTTTTTAGGATTTGAGGTTGGGCAAATATTACCAATTGCGCTACCGTGTCTACGCATTTACAAATTATATTAAATCGATGTTTAATTTAATACTACATTAAGCTGTTGATATGTTTTAATGATTTCCTTGGTTACACCAATTTTTAATTCTACATATTTTATATAATCATGAACTGGTCTGGTAAAAAATATTATTTTTTAATTTTACGCGATATATTTTTATTTACTAAAATTATATTACATATGTACTATACTTATTATTTAATAATCTTTGTGTTATCCATGTTATTGAGGTTTAGGTAATTCATTCACTTACAAACCACAAAACCTATAACACAAAACAGTGGTACTTTATATAACAACTAATATGTCTAAAGGTGACGCGCACGCTCAAGTCATCCGATACCAAAAGAACATTATAGACACGAAAGGCTATCAGAGTAGCCCCCCAAAACGCGTCCAGACTTCGCACTCCGTGATACGTCCCGAGCTAAATCGAAAGTCCGGGGGGCGCCACCGTCAGCTACTGTTTGTGCTGTCAACTTGCATAGCGTCAAGTTGCCCTCTCTCAGCCGGATCGAATTTCATATTCGATAAAGTGAACGTGCCTCAATTTTGGGCGACAGACCGTGTGACATAATGATTTATCATTTTCGTTCTCAAAAACACCAGCAGTTTCTTTTTGTTGGTTTTGGACAACTACATTTGACGGACTCGGTGGGATAATGGAATATACCATCAAGCAAAGGCTAATGATGAACGGCTCATGGTTTGGTTCCCACCTTTGAGATTTTCTGAAACATGTTGGACTTTGTTTGGAATTCTGAATATTAAATGGGGGTCTGGGAATATCGAAATTCCTCTCGAAGCACCGTTCCCAGATTAAGAAGCTTTTCAGAAGTATTTTCAGATATTCAAAATTCCACTGGGATTTCTGAGTATCCAAAATCAAAATAGGCCGACAGCGCATCTTATTGAGATGTTATATGGCAGGGTAACCTTCAAATGAAACAGGAAAGGAACTGTCCATCAAGATCCTCTCGGATTTTCCTTAAAGATGGAACGAACGAAGCTAAGATTTGTTATTAACATGCATAGAAAATATTGCTTTTAGAATATTTTCTGAAAAATCTTTACATAAATACATCTATTCAAAATCAAAGGCCAACTTTTAAAATTGAAGTGTTACCGTCCGTTATATAGTTGCGTTGCCCTAATTCTGTAACTGTATAGTGAAGCATAATCTGGTAATCTAAATTTGCGATGAATAATTTTGTATTTCGAGATCATTATGCTAGGCTTTTTCAGGACTGAAGCAAAACACTTAAACCGCACGTTTAAGTAAAAAATGTTGTATTTCTGTGGAAATTGTGCGTACAGACTCATTACTAGGCGCTCGAGCGAGTAATGTGCGGTTATGGGCAGAGACGTGGTCAAAGACACGCGTTCTGTCTTTGACGGCTTCCGACCGTAGACCATAGAATCTGTTCTTATTGGAACTGGCACTGTTTACACAGAGAAATATGCGTCCATAGCAACAGTGGGAATTCATAATGATAAACGCTTTTAAAGAAAACACGTTTAACAATTTAAAACGAAAAATATATTAGTTACTAATTTTGAAATTGTTTTTTGTTTGACATTTCGGATGTTTATCAACCGTGGTCTAGGGGGGGTGAAAAATGGAAGCTGTCCCTTATGTCAAATTTACGATTTTAAAGCCATTAAACGTGTTTTATTTAAAGTCTAAACTACTGGCATTGTTAAACGTTGCTTTATTTTAATTGCAGACGGCTTCTGTGGAATTTAAATATATTGTCAAACCTATACAAAAAATGTTTTACTGATTTTAAAAACTTTCTTTTCTTTTTTTTAAATGTCTGCCTAAAAATTAAGGGAACGACATTTATTTTTAGCATAAGTAGCCTATGTTTTTGCCTTGCTAGCAATCAAAGCAGTCAACAAAAGAACATCAACTACCAGCATATAATTTTAAATTGACCCAACCTTTGTGCCCGTTCTGACCGATTTTACATGGTCCCATCAAAATCACTCGCTCAATTACATTCGATTCAAGTCCTATTGACTCAAAAACGTGCGTGAGATATAGCCACGAGATTTTATAGTCGTTTTTATTAGTTATAAATGAGACCATTAACTTTATAGTTACATGATTGACTTTACGATGTACTAGATTTGTGTAACACTGTGCGCTACAAGCAAACGCCGCTACGCATTGCAATAATAATTACTCTTTATCGCAAACTGTAAGTCGATAAAAAAAATTTAAAGTTTTGGATACTTTGTCGAATGATAGATTTTTTGCATCATTTTTTTTATATGCCAAATCCGTTTTAGATTTATAGTAAGTCAATATTGTTTATACTTTAGTTGAGACTACTATATCATGGAGGCTAGACAACAATGAGATCTACTTGATATTAGGTGAAAATATCACAGCCAAATAATATCTTAACAACATGCGCTGTCATTGATTGATTTGGATTTAAACTGAAACGCGGTTAAAATCGACGTCTTTTCGTGTGGATATCGAACCCGCGACCTGTTGATTATTAGTCGTTATAGCCCCCTTACGCTTAGTCTTAGTAGACTTTTCCAAAGAGTACTTAAATTTAATCAAATATAAGTTTACCAATATATACTGTCTATAGTTTACGCGAGTAGTACACATTTAAATATAACACTTTAACGGTTTAAAACGCGATATATTAGTTAAACTTATTTGAAAATGATTTTTAAAAATTCTGTAAGGACCCGGCCAGTTTCGCCAAATACCAACTTCGACGGAACAGATGGCGCTAGCGTAGCAATTTTTTTACTTTGACGTCAGAGACATCCTCCATCTTTAGTCTCCCCGTGACCACGGCTGCCGCAAAGCATCCGAAACGTCGGGCCGAAGTTAAAAATCATTTTCAAATAAGTTTAACTAATATATCGCGTTTTAAACCGTTAAAGTGTTTTATTTAAATTACCAATATATTTTACGTTTTAAACCGTTAAGTAAAAATTTATTTAAATTGGGTTCATTTTTATTCTTTTGGTACAGAGGCATAAGTAACTAATAACAAGTGTTATTATTACGCGATAAAACGTAAATAAATACGAGCGAATGGAACGTATTCTGAACGTAAATGAGCCAAGGCTATCCAACAATACGAATTGTTAACTATTCCAAACACTTAAATCACAGAGATCTAATGAAACGAGAATAATCTTTCATAACGCGAGCCAAGCATAATATTTTCACGGTTATTTTTCGAATGTTCTAATTCCAATGTTATTTCGTTCTAAGATTTGAAATAACGTTATTTGAACCTTGACGCGTTGTTCGATAAATATGACGACTATAAGTATACTGTCTATAGTTTACGCGAGTAGTACACATTTAAATAAAACACTTTAACGGTTTAAAACGCGATCGTTAAAGTGTTTTATTTAAAAGACTATAAGTATGTAGGAATTTGTTGTTGCAATATTTGAAAATCATCTTTTTGTTGTAATTGGAATAGTTACATCAGGGATAGTCATTGGAAAGACGTTTATGATAGGAGCTGATGTGGACCCAAGATATACTGTGTTCATGGTGGTATACTCGCATAATATTATCTAGGCTAATTTATAATTGATAAGTCGAAAGTTGCCACACACATTGACCTTGATGGTAAATGTGCTGTATGTTATGTTTAACAGAAAGAACATTCACCATCAAGGTATGTTTTTTTTGTTGTTTTTTAAATTCAAATATATAAATATAAATTGTTTCATGAATACAAAATCTTATGAACTAGCTTATAAATAAAAGGCGGCCTTATCGCTAAACAGCGATGTCTTCCAGGCAACCTGAAGTAAAGGGAAAAACAAAAAATGCGTAAGCGATGCCAAGATAAATAATAAGAAAGGCAATTAAGAACTTGAAAGGTAATATCTGAAAACTTTGAAACCTCAGGTTTTCAAAGAACGGAGAGATTGAGCTTTTTTGATACCAGTTATTTCTCTCCGGGATTCAAAGTAACGACCTCGTGTACAATTCCATTAAACGTGGAAGCGGTTGTTATTGTTGTTGGGTGTTTTATTGCACTGAGAATACAAATCTTTGAGGGTGTTAAATCAAGGAAGGTGTTCATTGAAACAAACGATTATGAAATGGAATCAAAGTCAACTCATTTGACCCGAGATTCCTCTGGACAATCAGCGTGCGAAGTCATGGCCCGTTCGCTACGATGACATGCGATACTTCTAATTAAACGACATCATCGCTTTGAATAATTTAAATAGAGAGCACACTTGTATGCGACTGATATGCATGTTTAACGCCTTTTTGCATACTAGCTGTAGCCGCGACTTCGTCCACATTGAAAAAACACACATACAACTTTGGGCATCAAAATTTGTTTTTGCAAACCTCCTCTTCATCTTTATAAATTTTAGCCGATACCCAGGACGTCGTCCGTAATTAGCTTAGTTTTTTTTTCTCTTCTATTGGCCGCAGTTCGATATTTATAGACTAAAACCTTCGTCGACAGGTATTCTAAGTACCACAAAATAACACTATACAAAAACTATGAAGAATAAATCAACTTAAGAAATAAGTAGGACTTGGTAGCTCAAGTGATAGAGCAACAGCACGGAACGCTGACGGTGCCGGTTCAAGTCCTGCCCGAGTTGAAAATTTTTTCAATTTATTTTCGATTTGAAATTATATAGTGCCTTCATGTGCAAAAAATATGTACATGTAAAAAATATAGAGTTCTCAAGAAATCAACTTACTTTAAAACTTAACGTCATATTAAAACATTCTCATATAACTTTGATAATGCAAAGTAGATTGTTAATTTGATTGATATCATATCTCTTAATACAATATTTACAGACTTTAAGAATGTTTAACTGTGTGTGTGTGATAACAAGAATAACAGTAAAAAACTAAGGCACCTTAAAAATAAGTAAATAAATAATTTACCACTTGAAACATCAATAATGTTTAATATAATGTAAATTCTTTGAAACAAAATACAAAACTTTTTAACATTAAAACCTTTAGTTATATAGCGTAATGAAATATTCATCTTACATATTGCATCGTCTCCATTCATTGATATTATTACAAACTAGTTTTTAAAAGAAATGTCTTTAAACATAGTAAAGTTCTAAGAATCTTAATTAAACCCATTTAAAAGTCATCGCTGGTACCACTTAAAAAACTAAAAGTGTCATTAATATAAATGACAACACTAATGATTCAGTACGAGGATCTATATGACTAAAATATATATACTTAAAAAAAATGGGTTTATAAGAAAAACTTTTACATTAATCAATATGCAACAGTGAAATAACTAAATGAAATATAGTTTTTTTTATCAAATCTTTTTTTTTCTTATTTGCAAATTAATAATAAATACACTCTATAATGATAACTTGTACAGTATTGTCTGTCATTAATGTGCATGCACAAATAAATCATTTTCATCGGCTTAATACCCAAAATGTGTTTTGTAGTTACGATGCAGTAGTAGTTGTTCCCGATAAGGAAGATAGGTGGCGAGTCAATACTGTCATATCGAGAAATTAACTTAAACTCATATATTTTGTGTTTTAAATTGGTAGAAGTATGATTAA